ATTGGAGCACCGGACTGAAATCTCAAGGTCCAAATCAGAAGCAGAAGGAGAGAGAGCACAAGCAAGGAACTCAGGACCGCGAGGGGTGCACCCATACACTGAGACAAGGGGGATGTTCTATCGGGAACTCACCAAGGCCAACTGGCCTGGGTCTGACAAAGCCCGGGTTAAAACCGGTCTAGCTGAACATAGTGGACAATGAGGACTATTGAGACCTCAAGAACAATGTACTTAATTTTTTTATTGAATTATTTTTTCCTTTGATGACGAATTTCTTGACTTCTTTGTATATTTTGGAGATTAGCCCTCTGCCTGATGTGTGGTTGATGAAAATCTTTTCCCATTCTATAGGCTGCTGTTTTGTCTTGTTGACCATGTCCTTTGCTTTACAGAAGCTTTTGAGTTTCAGGAGGTCCCATTTATTAATTGTTTCTCCCAGTGTCTGTGCTACTGGGGCTATATTTAGGAAGTGGTCTCTTGTGCCAAGGCGTTCAAGTGTACTTCCCACTTTCTCTTCTGTGAGGTTCAGTGTGGTTGTTTGTGTTTAAAGACTTTCATTTGGTTGTCTAAATTGAAAATTAAAAGCTGATAGCTCACTTAACTAAAATAATTACTTGCCTATCAGATTTCAAAGCCTACAAAACAGTAGTTGAAATGTAAAATCTAAGAACTAGTAAACTCTAGATGGCTAAGAAATCATTACTTTCTGGGATGACCAAAAACAATCTCAAAAGTGTGAAGCTTGGCATTGTATTCATATTCATTATTTTTATTTCCAGATTTGAAAACATATTAGTGCCTAATATCTGTTTCTTTAACCATATAATAACCTAAGGATGCTGGTCTGCCAGGCTCAGGAATTTTCCAGTCTAGCCCTCCTCCAATAATTGATTTACTTCATTAAAATGGAAACAGCACAACTAATTGGCTTTTTCCCAGGTTATTGACAGGGCTGTCACACACTCCTCAGAAAAGAAAGTGCTGTGAAAATCACATGAAGCCAAAGACCTGCTCAGTAGAACAAAGTGGTAAGTATTCCCAAAGATGAGAACACAGACCCAAAACTGTCAAATAACTGACCAACCAGATGCCTACCCCAGGGGTGAAAATCGTGGATGGCCATTAGAATCACCTGAGCAGCTTTTAAAACATTGATGCTTAGCCGTATGCCAGAGCTTTAGACTAAGTCTGTACGGAGGTAAAGAAACCGGGATTTTAAAGCTGGGAGGTAATTCGGTTGTAAAGAAATCAAACATCAGGGCTTCAAGCTAATAAAGTAATAACTTCCATCTTTCTCCCTTGGTCCATAACTGACTCGAAGTGCTCTATTTTCTAGTGAGGTGTTATCAGTAAGCAATGTGCATCAGAAGAACTCGGTGTGAACAAAAGGCCATATCTTTATTTTGCTATGGTTTCTCAGTCCTCTTCTACAAGTCCTGCTTTTGCTATCCAGCTGAGAAATTAAAGCACACTTTGATTAGCATTGGTCTAATTTCATACATCTGTCATCAAATTTAATATTTTCATTTCAGTGACCAACCAGTTCAAAACTCCCTTCCAAAGTCTTGCTGGATTTCAAGGGATGGAATATCGTATTTGAAGGAAAAGAGCAAGCAAGCTGACTGAAGGTCACAGAAGGCCCGTGAGTGGGAGAAAGTGGAACACCGGGCTTTAGAAAGCTCTCTGCTAACTCCAGCTGCAGATGTCATCCAGTCTGTGGGTGTTTTCATTCCAGCTCAGAAGCCCTCTGATGCCTCGCTGGCTAGGCGGGTGTCCTCTTCCTCCCTCTCCGCTCCTTGTGTGTCCCTCCCGAAGCTGGGGAGGCTGGTGCTCTGTCTAAGAAGAGGATGACCTTCCCCACATAGAGGAGGACCAGTCTTTGTGTACGAGAAGCTGAGCTCCCCTGTTACAACCCCAAACAAGTTCTCAAGATAGACAGAGTGTGACATCTGCACAACAACCAACTTTCACCCATAGGAGGATGGTTAGGGAGATTTTCCCCCAGCCCAGATACAGACTGTGAACATTTCCTGGATCTCAGGTACCCTGAGGTTGGGGTGTTTTGCTTCCCAACCTTGCATTCTCCTGACCTCTAGAGGGAGCCCTGCATCAACCAGAGCAAGCCACAGAACAGACATCACTTTGAACAGCCAGCTCAGTGGTCCTACTGAACATGGGGATTTCTGAACAGTGAGTACCTTTCATAAGTTGGCAGTTTGGAGCCTTATGAGCTCCTGGATAATGGGTATTAAGGTAAAACTTTGTCCAGTAAAGCCATGTTTTCACAGATAACATTGGGAAACCAGCCAACTGTATTACTTAGGAAACTCTGAACTAAAAACTTAACTTAGAGTAACATGACTCTAGCTAGACACAGGCCACTTTCATGGCTTTTTATTATATGGCATATGCCACTGTAAGGTCCTGAAACTCAGAACTATCACCCACAATGTCTGTAGTCAATGCATTAAGGAAGAATGATCTGAGGGAAAACGTCTATTGGCTTACATAAAGGAACAAGAGTTCTGTTACTCAGAATCAATAGGAAGCCTAAGTCTCAGCAGTACGTCATCATTCCTCAACTACAATCACCTTTTAAATATTCCTGGAGCTAGGAGGTCATATTGAGGCCAGGCCAGGTTCTCCAGCTTTCATCTTTGTAATCTGTTAGGGGTCTTTTTAATCTTATCCTTTGAGGATGAAAATGATAAATTCCATACTCTTGCTTTTTGCCATGTAACACCTTTCACCAAAGACTGTGAGAGCCAGAGGTGGTGAAGAATTCTAGGAAACAGTGTCCTCTGGTCAGCACAGGGCAGGTGAACATACGGACTCACAGCAGAGTAATCTCAGGCCAGACCAAACCTCAGCACTGATGGGGAACACTAACATGAAGTCCCACTCCTAGAAGAAGAACGCCAGTGGCTGCTGGGAGAGGGAGAATCAATTTTTATCAAGAGCATTGCCACCGCCAAGGTTCAGTGAGAGACCCTGTCTCAAATATAAGGCCGATAGCAACAAGAGAAGACACTTGAAGTCAGCTCTGGCCTCCACATGTGCACATTGAGGAATGATGTATATGTGGGCAGGTACACTCACATATACACCCTCTCTCTCTCTCTCTCTCTCTCTCTCTCTCTCTCTCTCTCTCTCACACACACACACACACACACACAGCAGTGTTATTCTTTGAAGTGAGGGCGGGCCACAGAAAAGGAAAATGACTTTTATGATATTACAACATATTTTTAATCAAACTGTAAATAAAAAACACCAACGATTATTCTGTTTCTTGACCTAAGCAACTTTGCCATTCCAGTGTCTTGCTTTTCCTTATGAGCAAAAAGCACAGGAAAGCATGGCTGTCCTGAAGTAAGTTGGAGGGTATTTCTAAAGAGTAAGTAAGAGAGGTGGCGGTGACAGGAACGCCCATTCTGCGCCTCTGATGCTTCATTCACTCCAGACACAAGGAGAGTTCAGCCATGCTGGGTTCACTCCAGTGGAGTAGAAAACCCAACCCCACAAGAGCAGAAGTGTACAGCATTCAGGGCAAGAACTCAGGTATCACCTTGATGTAATGATTAGTCATAGGGCCACTACCCAGGACTGCACATTGGTCCCCAAAGCAGACCCTGAAAGGTCCTCAGCATCAGCCCTATTCTCTAACATTGTCGAACTAGAAACAGGCCTGCAGGAAAGTTGTAAGCCAATCAAGGCAGGCGAAAACCAGCTCTGCTTAAGAAAGTTTCAATTCTTTATCTGGAACAGAAGAATTAAGAAATACATACATTGTGTGTGTGTGTGTATATACATACGCAGGTGTACATGTGTGTGTGTGTGTGTAGATTCCATACTTAACCTTATAGCTCAGATCAGTTGGGACCAGGAGTCTTCATTTCCAAGTCTATATCTTTATGAAAGTTTTATCAAATAAAAACCAAAATATAGTACAAAGGTTTCATTTTAATTACTCATAGGGATAATTTTAAAAAGAGAAATCCTATATTTCACAAGTTTTTAGAAAGCAAAATGTATTTGAGAAATTGAGAAAAATTGTGAAAAAAAATAGAACAACAGCAAGAGACACAATCCCCCAGCCCCCAGATATCATGAGGAGGTAACCTTATTAGGGTATTTAATACTAGTTAACAAAGATGAATAGGAAATCTCAGTGTCCAACTCTGGTTTCCTTACTTTTGCCTGTTACTCCCTTTCTGACTCTACGGGAATGCTGCGGGCCAGGACCTACAGCGTTCGTTATGGTTTCGTTGAACCAAAGGTGTTTGGGGCTTGGTTTCCAACAGTAATGAACGGGCACACACAAGGAAACTCACGAGCAGCCTTGTCTTAGAACCTAGAGGCAGCCGTGGAGGCTGTACTGGGAAGTCAAGGTAAGGCGCTGGGTAGGGTTTTGTGTGTTTATTTTTCCTGCAGAACTCTAAATAGTTGCTTTGGCCCCGTAACTGTCCTCGCTTGGAGCCTCGGAGCTGTTTACAGAATCCAAGAGTTGCAGCGGTACATTTCCATGAGCTCATGAGCAGCCAGCACCAGCTGTACCTTTTCCATTTCACGAGTGCCCGAGACTATTCAAGCCACCAACGCCCTGCTTCTGGCTTGTGCCTTAACGTTGAGGCAGCCGAAGTCAGATGGTTAATTACCGGGCTCTCAGGGCTTCTTTACAATCCCTGCTTTGGTCACTATGTTAAAGCAATCAGAAGGTCATTTCTTGCCAGCCTCTTTATGTTAATTAGCTAGTTCTCTCGGCTCCTCCCCCTGCAGCCTCCTTAAGAACTGTACACATCCAGCTGTCACCGGGTAAAGCTGACCAAGCAGAGAAACTTGGGTTTAGCCTTGCGGTACTCTCCCCTTTGCCTGGGACTTTCTCTGGCAGTCCTCTCTCTGCTTGAGGGTCTGGACTCCAGATCAGAGAAGAAATCGAAAATGGCTAAAACTGGCCGAGAGAGAGTTTCTTCTTAGGATTTTACACTGTAAAGGAGAAAGTTTCAGAACGCTTTGAAACAAAGTAAGAATGAAGTCTTGCTTCAAGCCAAACAAGCTGGCATCTTTGTAGGCAGGAGATGTAACACTGGTAAATATTTACTGCAAGATTCTTAACCAGGAGAAACTCCGGCTTGTTCGAGGAGTAAATGTTTTACAGGAGAGGTGAGATCTGCGTGTGCCTCTGTGTTCTTTCCAAGTGACTTCTGGAGACAGTCTTAGATGACTGGCTAAGACAAAATGCCCTAGTGATCCCCGAGGCACAGCCAGATTGTGGGTACCATGTCTACCACACAAAGGAAAGACGACAGCCACCTGTTTGCCAGTCTGTGCACGTGCCAGCTGAAGGTGCAGGAGGACCAGCAACAGCCAGGTGGGTCTAGTGAGCTAAGTCCTGTGTTCTCTGACTTTCTGGTCATTTGCATGTCCGGGGAAAGGGTGGGCTGGAGTAGCTCCTGGGATGTTCTGATTATAAAATGCTTTTTGAACTCCGAGGAGAGGAAGAATAGTGAGGCTCGACAGTGGGTTAACACGGTCTCACTGTTGATTTGAAGGGTTATCAGTAGTTAGAGAAGCATCCAGAATACACGTTCCTTGGAAACATGCATTGAAACTTCCAGCCATTGTCAGTTGTGTAGAGCACGATAGAGTGCATTTAGCTGAAAACCCCCACTGGGGCAAGGCTGACTTGGCTACTGAAGGAATTTGGCAGAGAACAGTTTTGCTGGCCTGGCACTATTCCCCATGTCCTACTGCTGTAAGGGCTTTGTTTAAATCTAGCTTTGTATGGACTTTTGACTCATTCATTTGTGGAAAACACTTATTTTTGACACTCAGTTTTTTACAGTCCAAAAGGAGCTGGAACAGATAGTGTGGGATTTTACTTGACGGGCATCTAAACTTCGCACCTCATAGTTTTTCCACGAATAATCTTTAAAAAGCATTTCAGATTGACTATGGAACCATGATGATTGACATGAATAGGCCAACTATCCCCAGTCTGTTGTTAAGGACACTTGTGGGAAAGGCTGTGTGGTGATGACGTCAGCACCCCACCCCGGAGGTTAGCCTCTTGGCAGCCTGGGATAGATCTAGACCTGGCACGTGAGCTCCTCGTTGGTTTCCCTCTAGACTCAGCTTTAGATTTCACTCTCACAGAGAGCAGAAGCTAATGAACTGAAACCTCAAGTGAAAACCTTCAAGGTGGCATTTGTGCTAACATTTGGTGACTGTCCCAAGCCACCTCACTGCAAGAGTCCTGAGCCGAGCCAAGTGATCTCATACCACACAGGGCTTAATAGACATGAATAGGAGAGGATTCCTGCAAAATCCTACAGTGCAGTCATTTCAGAATATGCTACACCATCCGGGTTAAAATAAATTGCTTTGAACCGATAGCTTTAGGGAGCATTATACACGTTGTTACTAGAGACCCTTAGTTTATCATGGTTTTGTCCATATGTTTATCTGTTGCTTCTTTTTACTTGAAATGTTTAAGGCCTTACCTCTCTTCATCTAGATGTAATGTTTATAATAGAAATCAGTCAAAAGTGCCCTGTAACCTACCACCTAAAGATAGGCACTAGGGATATTTTAATAGGCAGTCTAGCTTTTAAAAAATGTTTATGCTTGGATTATTATTTTACTTGTTTTTTAAAATAAAAAGGAGACTTATTTGACAGACAGTCCTCTGTAAACTGCCTTTTAATTAACAGTGTATGATGACCAAATTCTCAAGTCATTACATGCTCTCTGGAGTATTATTTTCAGTGGTCAATGTCAGACATTTTTCACTAAAATTAGCACTGTTGAATAGAAATTAACAGCTATATCTGTGCACAGATGATTATTTTCATTGGATAAATTCTTAGAGAATGCTATGTTTAAAAGATTATTGCACTTTTTAAACTTTTCTTTCTGGCCATGTGGTTTTTCCACTCTGCAATAATGAATGAAAGGGTATGATCTCAGTAATACTGGGCATTAATTTTAAAATTTGTTTCCAATTTTATAAGTAGAAAATAATACCCCACTGTTGTTTTAATTTAAGGAAGGCTGCCTTGATGGTTTCTTGGGCCTCATCCAAAGAAGCCTGGAAATATCATTATGATGACACACTTCCCAAAATACCAAGACTAGCAGCCTACTCCTGTTTTCTCAGCCTGAAGCTCTTTGCTTGGAATGTTTTGAAAGCAATCATATTCTTCTGTGGCCAACTCTCAAAATATCTGCCCACAAAACCACAATCCATAAAGTCGTGAGGCTTCGCTAATGAAGTCCAGACTAGTCCCTGAGTGCCACAGAAATGCCATCGAGAGGTCTGAACTGACAAGTGACACTGTTCCACGCTGGCCCAGTTTCTAGAATCTGCAAGCTTCCATTTATTGCAGTCTTGGGGTTTGAGGTACTCATTCAGTGTGGTTGCAATGGCTTTTCCCAAACACCATGTTTGTTCCTTCCTAGTATGGAAAGTTCAACAAGGAGGCAGACCCGTCGCCTTAGACTGAGGCCTGGCTACAGATTGATACGCCAGCTACCGAGTTCATGCCTTTGGCCTCACTTCAACCAGGTCGATTTCTACTGTCGACTCTGATTTACTAACATGTAACTCTGCTGAAGCATGGCCAGCTTTAGTATACATTCGTATATTGAGCCCTCTCTACAGTGTGCGAATGTATTTTATTTTTTTTAACTCTAGTATTTGAGTCTTTCTATCTAGTCACTCATGAAAATGTACTGTTTTGGTTGACTGCAGAGATAAACATTATTTGTTCTTTGACTATTTGGGCCTCTAGACAGTCAGGGCTGCCTTACCTCCATATGCTAACATCAGCCAAGAGACTCCACGGATCAGTGTCTGAAGGCTTTATGTGAGTTTCGTTATGTAGGTGTGATTGATGATGTCAATTATCATGTGATCAAACTCAGTTACCAGCCCTTCTCTACATCTCTTGGGTAGTTCAACCTCTGGTCATGGGCTTAGTCTTCTTGATGTGGCCAGCCCTCCTCTTAAAACTGTCTAATGGTCTACTATAATCACTCCAGCCACATAAAAAGACACACATTATCACTCAGGAAATTCACAACTAGTGAAGTTCTGTGAAAGGAATAGGGCCAAGAACACATATATTTATTTTTTTCATATTTGGTAATTTTCTGGTTGTGCTTTATTCTCAACATACCTTATTTGGTTTCCTAAAAGTCAAGAATTGAAAGACATCCTAAGATGCCTGTTTTCTAATGAGAAAGAGAAGGGTGGGGATTCTGATGGGCGGGGAGGTGTGGAGAAACTGGGAGGATTGGGGGGAGGGGAAAACAAGGAGAATATACTGTATAAAAAACAATCGATTTTCAGAAAAATAAAAATATACAAAAAAGAAATACAGACCAATACCTTCAGCTTTTAATTTATAACCAATACATTTTAATTAATACCTACCACGGAGTAGATGAGTACCAGACACTGAGAATGCAAACACATTTTTATCCTAAGTTTGCATTCAAATGTAGGGTTTCTGAGGAATTAAATATTAAGAACTGAGCAAATATTTTTCAACTCTTTGGGTAGACTCTAAACCACAAAGTACACATTACATTAGGTTATTGCAAATGTGCTATTTTCTTCAAATGTTTCCTGTAGCTATGTATGAATGCCCTTAATTTATTACCTAGGGCACTTATTAACTAAATTAAAGAAACTTATGTGCACCAAGAGGGACTTCAATAGGTCCTGCATGGTTATAAATGTTAATTTCTTTTAGATAAGGTTATCACTAAATACAGTTATGGTTCTCCAAATAGATTTGTACTTTCCTTTGTGGTTCTGAAGCATTGATTCTACACACACAGTGTGACATCGTATGAGTGACATATAGCCAGAATGGACCTACACTTGCTTCTGCTTTTCTGCAACCAAAAGGGAGCCTTGCAGAGGCTCAGATGACCTTTGTTCTAGCTTTGCAGTATCACTTGCATTTACAGCCTAGGACTGGTAGAGATAGGTACAGATTACTTTAGAAGAGTTTGGAAAGGGAGAAGCTTTAGGCCTGAAAACTGTTTCTTGTGTTCAAGCTTATACCTAGTGGAGGAATCCTTACCATAATAAACTTCCCTGATGGATGGTGGTTCTACCAGATGGCTTAATGATACAATTTATATTTTGTAAGGTAAAAAGACTCTGGAGATGGGCTGACCATCAATATCAATATCATTAATTCTTCTGAACTTACTGCTTGCCCTAAGGATAAACTTTGAAGCAAATATATGTAATTAATATGGCCTCTTCGGGCTGATGAGGGAGGGGGACTTGATTGGGGGAGGGATATGGGAGGCGGTGGCGGGGAGGAGGCAGAAATCTTTAATAAATAAATTTAAAAAAACCAAAAAAACAAATAAAAGCAAAAAAATGTGAAAAAAAAACAAAATTTAACACTAATTGGGAAAATCAAAATCAAAATCTTTAGAACAGAAGTGAGATTTCTGAACCTGATGCTAGCAGGACATTCAAAAGATAAGTAATAGTTAATGTCATTGGATACTTGATTTCCCAAGAACTGAAGGCACTCAGTATTACCACCTGTAGCCAATACTATGTTGAAGGTGCTTGCCAGTATACTAAGTTTCTTTAGGAGAAATAAAAGGCTAACATATTAGAAAGAATTTGAAGTGCCTTTATTTAGGGACGACCAATAGAAAAACCCCAAAGAGAATCAAGACTATTGAGTAAACACACAATGTGTGTGTGTATCTTATAGGTATACCTGTAACACTAGTACTGAGGTGGTCTTTCTGGCCATTAGCCCAGTTCAGTGACCCTGTTTCAAGGGAGTAAGTACACCCCCACCTCTGTCTGTCTGTCTGTCTGTCTGTCTCTCTGTCTCTCTCTCTCTGTCTCTCTCTCTGTCTCTGTCTCTGTCTCTCTCTGTCTCTCTCTCTCTCTCTCTCTCTCTCTCTCTCTCTCTCACACACACACACACACACACACACGGAAAGAGAGAAAAGAGAGAGAGCCCGAAAAAGAGAGTTGGAGGGTTCACTATTATTAAGGAACCAGCCTTCCCCACACTGACCTATAGAATCAAGGCTTCATCATTGTAATTCCAGCCGAATTATTTATTTTAACTTGACAAGCTAGTTTAAAATTCATAAGGAAATCTAAGGAATGGTAGAATAGTTAATACATCTTGAAGTTGACAATTTCTAATCCCAGATTTTTAGATGGTGTAATATTGGTTTAAGGATAGAAAATCAATTCTTGGGACAGATTTGGATACCCAGAAATCAGTATATTTTAAAGTTAGATGTTGGTTTCATCTAGTGTGTGTGTCAGGTGTATGGGCATGCATGTGTGATGGCTCACATGTGGAGGTCAGA